AGAACTGGCTAAATCCCTGTATCAGGCAACAGCAGGGCAGAAGCCATTTAAGTGGAGCAGACGTCTAGCCAAGCCTGGGCCAGGATTAAACCGCCCTACTTCACGCCACTGGACTACCTTGATGTTACTAAGTTCTTCCACTATAATGAGATGAGAATAAGGGTGTCGCTGGCATGTAATAACTGAGAACTAGCCAAGGAGGCTGTTTATCTGCTGGGGCAGCTGATCCCAGTGCTGCCAGGTCTCCCTGCCTCTGAATGATCTGCGCCGTTCTGATGGCGCAAGATGCTTGATAAACTGGTTGCAGGGGGCATGAATCATATCGCGATCTACATGCCATTAGTTGCACGCAACATACCTAATCGAGTGTGATGAGTAATGCCTGCCTAATCATTTCCACAAGGACTGCTACTAACTTTCAGGATAACTTTTCCTGCCTCAACGACTTTGGTCCCTGCCTGCTGCTGCCAACCTGACCTGACGCCCACTCCACCCACTGCACCCTATTTTCCAGTGCACGGAGCTTCCGAGAAGACCTGCAGGACCGCCACTTCCTTGACGCTAACTCTGCCTGTCTTACTGATGGGGGTAGCTTTATGACTGGCGCCAGAGGTACACTGGAGCGGCAGTGACTTCCAGAGACTGAGGCAATCTGGGCGGAACCCTGCCCCCTGTGGGGACACGGGCTCAGGTTAGTCGAACTGATAGCGCCACCCAAGCTCTTACCTTAGTATGGAAAGCTGATAGTATATGCATACACAGCCTGATATGCTTTTGCAACGGTGCATACACACATGGGGCCATTGCAGGAGCAGGGTTACTGATGCCAAGAAAAGAGATAAAATAAGCAAGAGATCCTAGCCTCCCATATTCAGGCCCTATGGAGGTTGTGTGAAAAGTTAGCGCACAGTATTGCCTATGTGTACTGTGAAAACCACCACCTAACTGTTTGAAGGCAACTTCTGGCAGACCAAAACTGCAAGAAATGTGGCGAAGGCTCCTAGCCAACCTCTTGCACTCCAGCTCCTGACCCAGGCCTCCCGGATTTGCCATATCTCCTGATTATTCAGGAATAAGATCTCCAGTGGATTGATGTCTTCCCTTAGAAACAGATTAGCTGGTGGTGGATTGATTTTAATGACTAAAACGCATCCTACTAGGAAAATTCAGGATGTCAAGTGTTAGAACACATCCACCGAACTACCCACCTGGGAAGCTCAAGTGATGAGCAGACCTGACTGGGGATGCCTTGAGCTCAAATTCAGACACACAGCCGAGACGGCCAGCAGCACGTGATGGCTGTGTGTCCTGCCAGCTTAACAAAACACCCCACTCTAATCCCAGACTGCAGCGGAACAAGGCTCAGGGAACCAGGCCCGTATCTACTGGGAAGTAGATTTTACTGAGATAAAGCCATAGAAAATACGGTATCGTACTTACTTGTCTTTGCAGATACTTTTTCAGGTGGGACTGGGCGATTCCCTACCAAAAGGGAAACTGCCCAGGTTGTAAAGAAAATCCTGGAAGATATCCTCCCCAGGTATGGCTTCCTGGCCCAGATAGGGTCAGATAATGGGTCCGCCTTCGTCGGGGCTAAGGAGCCAGGATTTGGCTTGCATCCTTAGCAAATTGGAAACTATATTGTGCTGCAGGCCCAGAGTTCAGACAGGTAGAGAGGATGAATCGGACCTGAAGAGACCTTAACTAAATTAACTATGGAGACTGGGCGCCAATTGGGTGGTCCATCTCCCTATGCCTCTGTTCCGGCCCGTATTACCCCTTACAGACTGGGCCCAGCACCTTATGAAACCGCGTGGTGGCAGACCCCCACCCTAGTTCCCAGCCTCCAAAGATGATCTGCCCAAGTCTGGGAACGGAAAATGTCTGAATCCTCTTATTTTCCCTATGTTTGGTGGTGTAGAAACGGTCAAGAAATCTGGCTCAAGCTAAGGAACGAGAGGAGACTGGGTCCTCTGGGCCGACACTCCGATCTGTGAGCCTAGTTGAGATCATTGGGGTCCTGGGCTGTAAGCGACACCGATACAAGAGACTCGAGAACTTCAGGTGAAAGGACCACCCAGGTACTTGAACCACACCTACCGCCTGGCTGTAGAAGGCATTGCGGCTGTGGATTCACTATACCTATCACAAGCCAGTGGACCTAACTCTGACCTTCTGGGACTAATTACGGCGGTTGCTGAAGTAATGACACGTGACTGTGGACAGAGCTAGAACAACCCTCAAAACTCACCCTGCGCCGGCAGCATGTGGCTCACTGCAACATGGTGCCAGGCAGTTCAACTCCTAATGCTAGTCGCCCAGTGGCCACAGAGAAACTACAAAACCAGCCCAATCCCCTAATATCTCGAGATCTGGCTTTATGAAACCTAAACCCACCTTGGGACAACCCCATAAGCCCGGAAATTATTGGCCAGTGCTGACTGTCCCTCCCCGTGGTGTAATAGTCGACTCGGCTTAATGATTATTGAAGAGCAACTGGTGATACTCTGGTTAATATGCTTTGAGTTTGATTGTGACTAAATATAATTAACATTTATTGTGGTAATGCAGATGTTGGCTGTCCTTATAACTATTGTAAGATCTATAGACCTTGCTATTGCAGAGAGAAAACAGTTAGACCCAAGTGGCCCTTCCATCATAGACGGGATGGAGACTTTCAGCATGGATAGTTAGAGATCCTGAACTCCCGCTGACCATACACTTCAACATGGGCTGTATACTACTCCTCCTCCACATGGCCCAGTCACCTCTCTATCTGTGGCGAGGCCTAGTGCAAGTACTGCCCTGGTCCACGGGAATATCCACCACAGGAAAACAGTGACTAACACAGACTTACATCCTTTCTCCTGGTTAAAATGAGTTACAAGAAGGATTAGAACTTTACAACCTACAGGACTTCACAGCCTGTCTGGCTGCTTCAGTGTGCCACTTAGGCTGCCCACCGCCAACCGCTGTCCTCTGCCATGGGGATCTCACTTCTGCCCAAGCTAACAACTCCAAAACCTCCTACATGCTCCTATCCTAAACGTGCCTCTATACTCTAACCCCAAATAGAGAAGTTTCTACTAGTTTCTCAGAACCAATTTGTTTCTCTGCAGCATCACTGTAATGCCTCTAATATCACTCCTGGTGGTTCCATTGGTACATTCTTCTGTAATGGAACATTATCTGAACCCACTCTAGTCCCTCTGTTACCAACCTACTGTAGTCTCTGCTCACATTAGTCTCCGGTTGACTTACTAACTGCCAAGCAGTTCCTAGGCACACCGGACCTACTAGTACTATATCACCCAGTCCCCAGACTCCAGACCTGCACAGCCTACATTTCCTCTACTCATTGCGGAATCTCCTCACTACATCCCCCATGGCGGGGCTGGACTGGCGGGGAGCCCTAGGTCACACCCTCAGAAAGCAAATGCTGCACCAACAATTTGCTGCTGTTAAGGAGGAGTCGGCTGAGTCCTCGTCCTTTCCTCTCAGCGTGCAGCCTCACATCCTCAGCTCAGGCACCTTGCAGAACTGAGGGCCCTAGACCTACTCACTGCAGTAGAAAAAGGTGGTACATGTATGTTTCTGAAAGAAAACTGTTGTTTCTATGCTAAATGAATCAGTTTGTAGAGGACCAGGTCCAATAGTTACGTGCTAAGTGCAGTAAGTAAAAATGGCTGGGGCAGTTTGTTTAGCTGCAGATCATCGGTGGAATCTCTATGCTTCTGCTAGCCCCCTTCCTGACCCTGCCAAGTCTACTTCATTCTCTAAGCTACCGTAGGACTTTGTGCTGTTAACAGTAACCTACACCTGTTAGGAGAGATTTGACACTGCACAACCTATGTCCTCAGAGCCCAATACCAACTTCAAAACGCCTGAAACAGAATCAGACTTATAAGATCCAAGATTACCTTAGAGATACTCTGAAAAGCAAGGAGGGAATGAAAGGAGTTGGGTACATTCTTGCCTGGCTTCAAAATAAATAAGTCAGTAGTATAAATCCTATGCCATCCTCCTCATCCCACCATATCGCCATCTCAAACTTCCTGAGCCCAGCACAAACATCCCATCCTCCCATCCCCACCATATACCGCCATATATCTCTCAAACTGAGCTCAGTACAAACACATCCCATCCTTCCATCCCACCACACATCACCATGTACTTAACCTCCCAGTATTCAGCACAAATACCACCTGAAAGTCTCTATAAGAGACAGCCAAGTTTCAAAAGCTCTTGATTGAAAGTGTGAACTAAAAGAATCTTCCTTTGTTCCCCTGTAACTTCTGGGCCATAAAGGCCACTTGCATTGTTCAAGGCCTCTGTACTTGTGGAATGGAGGACCAGGTCTGAACTTGTAACTTGTAGTAAAGATCCTTGCCGCTTGGCTTTGACTCTGGACTCTGGTGGTCTTCTTTGGGGAACAAATGGTCTGGGCACAACAACCCTACAAAACAAATCTGCAGATTGAATTCTGCCTATAGGACACAAATTTATGATCCTTAGCAATGTGAAGTTAGAGAAGGGGCTTTATTGTGAAATTGACATGGGTTGTTTTATGTCTTATAAATGAAGTCTCCTCATCTTCCTGTGGTGAGAAGAGAGGGGGCAAGTAGAAAAACAGAGGAACAAATTTGGAGGCTAAAATAACATTCTATATAAGGAAGTATGCTAGTGCAGAATTAATTGATAGCAGGGATTAAGAGATGTAAATTAATTTGAGATACATATTCTAGAGGTAGAATACACAATACTTTTTCTATGTCCATATACAGAAATTGGTTGCATTTTCCTAAATAAAAAGATTTTTTTAAAAGTCAGTGAGCTGTTATGTTTTATTCCCTCTGACTTCAATTCCTTGATTCTTTCAATACTATTTTTTACATAAATTTACTGTCTAAAAGCTGGATCAGCTTATGCTCCTTTGTTGAGAGAAGTTGGCATGCTGTCAAGTGGGCTGGGCATACTGAGTTTCAGTTTCCTTTCTCTGAGTCTTTGAAACTTCAAGGCTGCAGAATAATTTCCTTTGCCCATTTTGTGCCTGCCCAGCTATCCAGACAGAGCAGCTACCCTCAGTTCTAGCTGATACTACAGACACTACAACAGGTAAATGTCTTTCTGCTTTTCCTTTTTCCTAGCTGACATTAGTGTCTCTCTTTCTCTCTCTCTTAGGTGACAGTGTCACTTGCCAGTCTCTGTTTCTGTTTTAATTTAAAAAGCAATGAGTTATAAGAAAAAATTAGCCAATGATTTTTCTGTTCATCCCTTGTTTTGTCATTTTTTGTGTTATGTAGAAAATGTAAGAGGCATAAATGCAAGTTTTATAACAGTATATATTGTCTGCTTCTTAATATTTAATGGAAAATATATCTGATTTGCCACTAGATCAAGAAGTATGGCAGTGACAACTCATTTGACATGGTTGCATGAAAAGATCCTGCAAAATCATTTCGGAGGAAAGCGGCTTAGCCTTCTCTATAAGGGTAGTGTCCATGGATTCTGTAGTGGAGATTTGCTTGACAGATGTTATAATCAAGGGCCTACTCTAACAGTGATTTATGGTGAACATCGTATTATTGGAGCATATGCAGAAGAGAGTTACCAGGAAAGAAAGGCTGCCTCCATCATCCTTTTTGCACTTCAAGAGACTAAAATTTCAGAATGGAAACTAGGACTATGTACACCAGAAAGACTGTTTTGTCATGACAATGTAAAATATAATTCCACAACTAATTTCCAGATAGAGTTAAGAAATAGAAAAGTGATTATGGGCTCAAAGACAACGGAAGATCTTGGACTTGTTCAAAATTGTACTATTTCTATTCAGGATTGTGAAGTTTTTCGATGTGAAGGTAGGTTTAATCAGATTATCCTGTATAGAGTTCTCCCTTGCATGTTTGGTTGGTTTAAACCAATTCATCTCTTTAAGGAAAAATGACCTTTTCACTCATCCATAATTTGGATGGTTCAGATTGAAACCTGGACACAAATTGTTTGCTAAGAGACAACCAGGGTCAATAAAATGTATATTTATGATAAGAACGCTTAACATAAGATTTATCCTCATAGCACATTTTTAAGTACAGTAAATCCTCAGTTAATGTGAACTATAGGTTCTTGGAAACTGTGACTTAAGTGAAGCAACTTAGAAGGAAACCAATTTATTTCCCTCATCATTATGGAAGAAAGACATTAGTCAAGGACATGCTGTATGTTGTTTTGCTTAAAATTACAGTTTCCAAGAACCCATGATGATGTTAAGTGATGACTTACCATATACCAGCAGTGGTCTCCAACCTCTTTGGCACCAGGGACCAGTTTCGTGGAAGATAATTTTTCCACAGACTGGTGGTGGGGGGTTGGTTTCAAGCGCATTACATTTATTGTACACTTTACTTCTATTGCTATTATGTTGTAATATATAATGAAATAATTATACAACTCATTGTAATGTAGAATCAGCTGGAACACTGAGCTTGTTTTCCTGCAACTAAACAGTCCCATCTGGGGGATGATGGGAGACAGTGAATCATGAAGTATTAGATTCTCATAAGGAGCATGCAGCCTAGATCCCTCATGCACAGTTCATAATAGGGTTTGCGCTCCTATAAGAATCTAATTCCACTGCTGATCTGACAGGAAGCAGAGCTCAGGCTGTAATGTGAACAATGGGGAGAAGCTGTAAATACAGATGAAGCTTCACACTCCTGCCGCTCAAGTCCTGCTCTGTGGCCTGGATCTGAACTGGCCACAGACAGCCTAGGCTCCGTGGCCCCGGGAATTGGCGACCCCTGCCATATGGTATTGTTGCTGTAGGTACTATGCTGTACAGTCGATCTCTGGGACTTAATTATCTTGCATAAGTAAAACTTTATGCCCCTTGACAAATATATTCTCCTTTCTTCCTTCCCACAGTCCCTAGCAAACCACCATTCTAATTCTGCTTTTATGAATTTGACTATTTTAGATTCCTCATGTAAGTGGGATTATGTAGCATTTGTCCTTTTGTGTCTGGCTTATTTCACTGAGCATAATATCTAATACTGCTGTATTAGTAATTTCAAAGATAGGGGCAATCAGAAATCTAAGAAAAGGCAGAAAGAGTACTTAGATATTCTGTGTGGCTCTCTAAATCTTTCCTTTCCATATGGGACATATGCTTTAAGGGCCAGAAAAATAGGCAGGGGTTTTAATGAAGTCTATGGGCCACTTTACATATTGAAAAATTATATGACAACTTCCAAGACATTTTCAAGGGAGGCAAGAATGCCCTCTTAATACATGGAATCTGTAATTTTTTTTTTTTTTTTTTTTTTTTGAGACAGAGTCTCTGTCACCCAGGCTGGAGTGCAGAGTGCAGTGGCAAGATCTCAGCTTACTGCAACCTCCGCCTCTCGGGATCAAGCAGTTCTCCTGCCTCAGCCTCCTGAGTTGCTGGGATTACAGGCATGCACCACCATCCTCAGCTAATTTTTTGTATTTTTAGTAGAGCCAGGGTTTCACTGTGCTTGCCAGACTGGTCTTGAACTCCTGACCTGGTAACCGCATGCCTTGGCCTCCCTAGGTGCTGGGATTACAGGCGTGAGCCACCGTGCCAGGCCAGAATCTAGATTTATTTACTAAGTAATTCTTAGTCACTGATATCCTGTTAAGGATATTCAAGAGATGTGTACTATTCCGTGTGGGAAATATCATTAGTCTATTCACCAGGACATAAAATTACTAGCATACTTATTAGAAAATTAGACTTGGTCACTTGTCTTCCTTTTTTCCCTGAGTGTTCCCTGGTAAAGTGAGCAAATGTATCTGTCTAGGTGCTTTAACTCCTACCTTCATAGTGATTCATCCTTATTCTTGTGTATAGCAATAGTTTATTCCTCTTCATTCATGTAGTGCTCCATTGTGGTGCATCCTTCACAGTATTTTATCCAATCATCACTGGTGGACATTTGTGTTTTCCAGTTTGGGGCTATTACAAATAATACTGCTATAAATATTATTGTACATACCTTTTGGTTCACACATATAATTGTTTTTTGAAGAAAATACCAATGAAATTGCTGGATCACAGGGTATGTATATGTTCATCTTCACACTGATGACATTTCCCAACATATTTTATATCAATTTCTACAACTATAAGTAGTGTACAAGGGTCTCTGTCACCCCAAATCCTTTTCAGCGTTTTGTTTTATTTTTAGATTATGTAACCATTTTGGTATATGAGTGGTGGTATGACATTTAACAAATTTGTCTTTCTTTGACAAAACAAGATAATTTATTTATTTTACATTTTAAAATAATTACTCTGTTAATTTATCCTTTCTTCAAGTTGTAAAATTTGGTTTTGTATTTTATATTTCTTTTTATATTCCTAAGGTCCGTTTCTTTATTCTTTTTTATTCTATTTTCAATTTTCAATGTTTTCCTTTTTTCTTGTCATTAATGAAATAGGATTTTATCATAAAATTGACATAAAGGTTCATACTGCTATTTTCTATATATTTGTAATTGTGGTTTCTATTTCCTTTCGGATATTAAAGTTATTTAAAACAGTGCTTTTTAAACTCCCAGGAGGTTGCTTTTCCATTTGTTTGTTCTTGTGCTTTGCTAGTCTTATTATATTATAGACATTGAGGGAAGTTTTCACAATTTCTACTATTGGTAATATTGTTCACTTTGTTGCCATACATATGGCCATGTTTATAAATGTTCCACATGATATTCTTCTTTTGTAACTGAGAGAACTGGTAGCATCACTTATCCTTATCCTTTCTGTTTCAAATTCAACATAAAAATGTCTGTTTCTAAGAAAAAATAATTCTGAGTTTGTGCCTTATTGATCTGAATGAAATCCTCTTCTTACACTTGAACAATTTACTGCACTCTGATTGGGTAGGCATGAGTCTCATCTTCTCTTCTGGGGGCAGGAATAAAATTAAGTGAGCTGGAAGTTCCTGAAGATCCAATTGTTAATAGCAGGTTGTAGAGAAAATCTAGTGCCCGTGTTTTCTGTTTGTGTGTCTCTGCACATTATCTCTCTCAGACCTATTGGATTATGGAGGGGAAAATGTCTTATTAGACATTTCCACATTTCCACATTAGACATTCCCACATCTCTAGGCCTTGCTGCTTTTCTTTAGAAAACACCCACACCCTCAATTCCCGTGTGGGAGTGAGTCACACACCACTGCTGAGTAATTGAATGAGAAGAGATCTGCTGATAGTACAGAGGGTCTACCTTGCCTCTAGCGCTAACCTCTTCAAATGATGTTAATGAGATTTATCAGAATTTTCTCCATAAAATTGTTCCCTTTTCACCATACAGCACGTTCTCATGGAAAAGTTATTTTTTGTGTTTGTCTCTAGTGAATTCACTGACATTCATTCAGTCAGCCAATCATTCGACAACTTCTAATCTACATTATTCTTTGATTATTTCCTCAGATTTACTGGATGAAAGAAAGATAAAAGGGGCGACTGAGTAAGTCATCGTTTTTAAGATTCTATTATTCACTTCATTTTCTTTGACTTATTCTATGATAGGTCTCATCAATATAATTGGCAACACATATTATCACACATAACTTGTGGATCATCAAGAACAAACTGTATTTATAATCATAAAATATTTGATAATATTAATGTTAAAACAAAAAGGACACTGAGTAGAGGAAAGGAATTTTTAATGTGATATACTTGAAGAAAAATAGTTATTTGTTTGTATGTCTGTGTTTTACTTAGAATTCTTGCAGTTAAGGTTTCAACTACTCTAGAGAGTTTCTAGAAGTGGTTGGCAGGTGGGGAATACCCACCATGAACTTCAAGAACATGCTAGAAATGGTCTACTTTCATGAACCTCGGAAGTAACATGTATTTTGACTTCTGAAGTTTAGTCTGAAATAATTGATCTTTATGTTTAATACAGCTATTATTTATTCTTAGATGTATATGGTCCACTAATTTAAATCTGAAAGATTTTATGTCTGGCTTTAGTTGTGTATTATTTTTGCTTTTTGTTCTTTTTGCAATAGGATTTCACGTAGGTTCATCTCATGCTTTTTATGTAAGAAGGCAAGTTGCTAAAAAAAATAATATCTATGAAAAAAATGAATCCGCAGAAAATTTATAGTAAGGTTTTATGACCTAACCGCAGTCAATTGTTAAAAACGATCATGTCTAAACAGGCTCAGGAAGAGCTTATTGTCTGCCTTGAGAACTTATGAACCATATGGATCCCTGGTTCCACAAATACGAATTCTGCTGCTGGGTCCAGTTGGAGCTGGGAAGTCCAGCTTTTTCAACTCAGTGAGGTCTGTTTTCCAAGGGCATGTAACACATCAGGCTTTGGTGGGCACTAATAGAACTGGGATATCTGAGAAGGTAAGCACATTTGAGGTCACCTAGCCTTTGCTTCTCTATTCAAATCAATTATATTTCAAAAGCCTTTTGCAGATCAACTTTATTACATATAGACTTCATCTCAATTTATAATAAAAAATGAATCTTTAAAATTGCTTTTATCCCCTCTACAGTATAGGACATACTCTATTAGAGATGGGAAAGATGGCCAATATCTGCCATTTATTCTGTGTGACTCACTGGGGCTGGGTGAGAAAGAAGGTGGCCTGTGCAGGGATGACATATTCTACATCTTAAATGGTAATATTCGTGATAGATACCAGGTAAGATTTGACTAATGAGAAATTATAATTGATTTTTAAAATGCTTATTTTTGTACAAATGTATCAGCATTTATCTTCTTAAACTATACTTGCTCAAGGTCCTTTGTCCCTATTTGATTTTTTTTTTTTTTTTCAAAAAGAATAAAAACATCTTGAGGGCTCTTCCATCATGGCTATCGTAACAGCTACTCCACTTTCCATTGCTTTCAGCTATGTGAAACAGAAATCCAACTGCATCAACTTACCTACAGATAATTTTTCTTATGTAAGAGGAAGTCTGAAGGCAGGCAGCTTGGGACCAGTGTGGCAGCTATCTGAAGTTATTAATTTCAGAGATCCTTCCGATTTTTTGAGGTCCTCAGCATGGGCTGTTAAGATATGCCTCCCCCAAATTTATATGTTGAAACCCTAGTCCTCAATGTGATGGCATTTGGAGGTAACGACTTTGGGAGGTAATTAGGTCATAAAGATAGAGACCTCATGAATGGGATTAGTGCTCTTATATACATGAGAGAGATGATCTCTTTCTGTCATGTGAAGATATAGCCTGAAGGTGACTCTCTGTAAACCAGGAAGAGGACCCTGACCAGAAACCGAATCTTCTGGCACCTTGATCTTGAACTTCTCAGCCTCCAGAACTGTGAGAAATAAATGTTTGTTGTTTAAGCCACCCAATCTGTATAATGTCTCATAGCAGCCCCACCTGACTGGGACGTGTGACTGTCGTTTTTATGTGAAAAGAACACTGAGCGCTGTCAGTGTTCCAGGCAAGAGGAAGGGGAGATCAAAAAACCATCTCAGTACATATTTTTTAAACTTCTAGCCTTCTAATGAACATTCAGATCTTGAATTAATCATTAAGTTTACTTTGTTCCAAACGATAGTCAATGATGCCAACATCTTTCACTGAATGCCTTTTGTATCTTTTCATTATGAAATATTAGGGTCAGTTTTTGTATTCTCTAGTTTTTTCTATTGATGTAGTGATCTATTATTTCATGATAGTATTTTAATTACTATATTATCTAATTGTTTAATTACCATAGTAATCAATTATGGCTTGATAACTTACCAGACAAGTCACATTCATTTTTTTATTACTCCTATTTGTTTTTCTTGACAATTTTCATACATATACCTTTTCGAATGAGGTTTTTTGTGCTTTGTTTGTTCATTTGTGTTTGATTTCTTGTTGTTTAGATTGAAATTATATCAACACTTTATACTGAAAATTGATTGACGTCTTTACATATCTTGTGTGCCTGTTAATAAAACACAGCAAGTTTTGTTTTTCTATTCATGCAAGATTCTTTCATTCTTTAGTATAGAGTTGTCTTGTAAGTGCTGTTTATTTTTAAATATTCTTTTTTAAATACAAACTTTTTATCACAGAGAATTTTAAAATAGACAAAATAGTTTAATGGATTCCCATGTACTCAGATTCAAAAATTTTTGATTCACAGCCAGTCTTGTTTCATCTGTATCTACCCACTTTCTCTTCTCTTGTATTATTCTGAAGCAAACCCAAGAAATCATAACATTTTATTCAATACTGACTATACATATAACTATACAAATAGGAGCATATATATATCTCCTTAAACATAGTCATAATACTCTTACCCCACCTAAAATTTACAATCGTTCCATAAATTATCAAATACAACTCAATTTTCAAATTTATAATTGCTTTATAAATATACATCTATAAGTTTGTTTGAATAACATTCAAATAGGTCTATTCAGTCTCTTTGAGTGTATGTTCTGACTTTATATCCCTCGCTTTTTCCTTATCATTTGTTTCTTAAGAAATCTAGTTGTTTTGTAGACTTCTATGTAATCTGAACTCCATTATTTTCATTCCTCAGGGTGGTTTTACATGATCCTCTGTTTTCCATATGTCCTGATTATTGAGAGTTGAATCTAAAGAGTGTTCCAATTCAGATTCTACTTCATAGATTGTGCTGTATTCTATGAAACTGTGCACAGTTTGGGGATTTATCACTTTTCTAATATTGGTATTAATCAATGTTTAATGCCTAGATCCGTTTATTTGTTAAGGTGTGAAAATAGTGACATTCTCTATTATTCTTTCACCATTTCACATACAAAAGAGAAACTTACCCTAATCCATTCTTTGATTATCCAGTGGCAAAGTTTAAAAAGAACAACAGGATATATGCTTGAATTTTTTGCCTTTTTACAAGACTTTGAAATAATGACATTTCCTTCACCTTTGCCAATAGGGTCAAGATATTATTTTATTGTTATTAAGAACAACTCAGTATGAATTGAACATATATTGTGTGTTTCAATCCATTGTAAGTTTTCTCCATACTGATGTAAAATGTACCATCTTGTACCAGTGAGAGCCTCTACAATTTGGATCCTGAGTCCATTTGACATGAACCTAAAAGTCTTTTTTATATTCTTTTATTCTTGCCACAGCTTTTGAGACAGCTGTTTCTTCAAGTAGTCCTGGTGTGGGGCATTAGAAATGTTCATAGCTACTTGGCTGGTCATTGTTTCTTGCCTTTTTTCGTGAGCAGAGTTAAGTAATATACATTTTCATGAAAAAAATTTATAAACTTATACAAAAACTTCTTATTCAAATTCAGTACTAGAAAGTTTTTACTTACTCTCTTTCCTATCACTTGTATATCTGCTTTCCCCCAAACTGAGAATTCTCATTCTCAAAAACAGTGGTGGTAACAGAATATCATGTCACAACGCATTTCCTTTATCTTATATATCATCTACAGGAACCTCAGTATAAAAGCTCTATCAGTACCATGAACAATCTCATCATAGTCACACTTAGTATCATTTCATATAATCACAATCAAAACTGGAAATAATTAAAACATCTTAGCAGATTTTTATAGTGTATTTAGGTTGTATCATGTATCCTTGGAGGGGTATACAAATTATTGTATTTTGAAGTCAATCGAAATAGTTTATCCCTGTATTATAACAACAACAGTTCACTAATTCAATTAAATTTAGGAACTGATTTTCAAAGTTAATTTGGTTTTATGTTTATGTTTAGCATTTATATGGTTCAAAGATCAAATATACAAAATAATGTATATTCAAAGAATCTATCTTCCTTCTCTGCCCCTTCAAATAAATTTCTCCCCTCTTCCTATTAGTAACCATACAAAATTTATATTTTTCTTGCCTTTTTAAATATATAACAAAGTACATATAAATTTGTGGCTACTCCATTCTTGGAGAAGTGGTAGAAAACTGCTTTATTTTTTTATTTTTATTTTTTTATTATACTTTAAGTTCTAGGGTACATGTACATAGCGTGCAGGTTCGTTACATATGTATACTTGTGCCATGTTGGTGTGCTGCACCCATCAACTCGTCAGCACCCATCAATTCGTCATTTACATCAGGTATAACTCCCAATGAAATCCCTCCCCCCTCCCCCTCCCCATGATAGGCCCCTGTGTGTGATGTTCCCCTTCCTGAGTCCAAGTGATCTCATTGTTCAGTTCCCATCTATGAGTGAGAACATGCGGTGCTTGGTTTTCTGTTCTTGTGATAGTTTGCTAAGAATGATGGTTTCCAGCTGCATCCATGTCCCTACAAAGGACACAAACTCATCCTTTTTTATGGCTGCATAGTATTCCATGGTGTATATGTGCCACATTTTTTGCTTAATCAGTCTGTGTCACTGATGGACATTTACAGGTTGATTCAAGTCTTTGCTATTGGGAATATTGCATAATAAACATACATTATTGCATGTGTCTTTATAGCAGCATGATTTATAATCCTTTAATTATATACCCAGTAATGGGATAGCTGCAGGTCGTATGGTACATCAGTTCTGAATCCTTGAGGAATCGCCATACTGTTTTCCATAATGGTTGAACTGGTTTACAATCCCACCAACATATGGTACATCTAGTTCTAGATCCTTGAGGAATCGCCATACTGTTTTCCATAATGGTTGAACTAGTTTACAATCCCACCAACAGTGTAAAAGTGTTCCTATTTCTCCACATCCTCTCCAGCACCTGTTGTTTCCTGACTTTTTAATGATTGCCATTCTAACTGGTGTGAGATGGTATCTCATTGTGGTTTTGATTTGCATTTCTCTGATGGCCAGTGATGATGAGCATTTTTTCATGTGTCTGTTGGCTGTATGAATGTCTTCTTTTGAGAAATGTCTGTTCATATCCTTTGCCCACTTTTTGATGGGGTTGTTTGTTTTTTTCTTGTAAATTTGCTTGAGTTCTTTGTAAGTTCTGGATATTAGCCCTTTGTCAGATGAGTAGATTGCAAAAATTTTCTCCCATTCTGTAGGTTGCCTGTTCACTCTGATGGTAGTTTCTTTTGCTGTGCAGAAGCTCTTTAGTTTAATGAGATCCCATTTGTCAATTTTGGCTTTTGCTGCCGTTGCTTTTGGTGTTTTAGACATGAAGTCTTTGCCCATGCCTATGTCCTGAATGGTACTACCTAGGTTTTCCTCTAGGGTTTTTATGGTATTAGGTCTAACATTTAAGTCTCTAATCCATCTTGAATTAATTTTCATATAAGGAGTAAGGAAAGGATCCAGTTTCAGCTTTCTACTTATGGCTAGCCAATTTTCCCAGCACCATTTATTAAATAGGGAATCCTTTCCCCATTTCTTGTTTCTCTCAGGTTTGTCAAAGATCAGATGGCTGTAGATGTGTGGTATTATTTCTGAGGACTCTGTTCTGTTCCATTGGTCTATATCTCTGTTTTGGTACCAGTACCATGCTGTTTTGGTTACTGTAGCCTTGTAGTATAGTTTGAAGTCAGGTAGCGTGATGCCTCCAGCTTTGTTCTTTTGACTTAGGATTGTCTTGGAGATGCGGGCTCTTTTTTGGTTCCATATGAACTTTAAAGCAGTTTTTTCCAATTCTGTGAAGAAACTCATTGGTAGCTTGATGGGGATGGCATTGAATCTATAAATAACCTTGGGCAGTATGGCCATTTTCACGATATTGATTCTCCCTATC